GAGAGATAGAGAGAGAGAGAGAGAGAGAGAGAGAGAGAGAGAGAGAGAGAGAGAGAGAGAGAGAGAGAGAGAGAGAGAGAGAGATGTCCGCGCGGCTGTCGTCGGGGTCGGTGGCCCGGTGGTGTTCAGCGATGGCGACTTGCCCGCGGCCACTCTTCAAAGGAGCGGCGGAGTATAGTCCACTGGTCCACCCGATGACAACCTAAGAATGACCCGGCTGGCCGCGACTGATAGGCCCGTGATGGCGCCTTGTGACGTCAGAGGGTGACAGAGGGACGGCGTCGGTTTCAGATGGGGAGGCATGACGGTACCGTTCGAGAAGGTGCTGATGGTTTGGTGACCTCAGTGCTCACCGCCCGACCATGTCGGAGATGGTGACGGTCTGCCAGCCACGTCTGAGATGGTGACGGTCTGCCAGCCACGTCTGAGATGGCGACGGTCTGCCAGCCACGTCGGAGATGGTGACGGTCTGCCAGCCACGTCGGAGATGGTGACGGTCTGCCAGCCACGTCGGAGATGGTGACGGTCTGCCAGCCACGTCGGAGATGGTGACGGCCTGCCAGCCACGTCTGAGGAGCCTGCCGGAGGGTCAAGCCTGCACTCAGACTGATACCAGCCCGCCATATCTGAGGAGCCTGTCAGAGGGTCCAGCCTGCACTGCACCATGCGGCATCTGAAGTCGCTTCAGCAGTCTGAAGGAACTTTCAGAGCCGAGCACATGGTACGTAAGTATGGTGCCTATATGTGCGCGTGTCGCTGTTTCCATACAGTCGTCGCGAGCCGCCACAAACTAAGATGGCCGTATCCTGAGTTTTGGAGCCGTCTGGACCCACAAATACACTGCCATCTCACCGGTGTCCGTCAAATGGAAATCCTGTCTGACTCCGAACAATGCGTGAACAGAAACGCGCGTTGCCCACACCAGAGACGGGGATGAGGGACAAGGGCGCAATCAACACATAATAGGACGGAGACGAGGGATACGGGCGCGGTTAACACATGATCTGTCGGAGACGAGGGATACGGGCGCCGTTAACACAGGATCTGTCAGGGAGGAGGGATACGGGCGCGGTTAACACATGATCTGTCGGAGACGAGGGATACGGGCGCCGTTAACACAGGATCTGTCAGGGAGGAAGGATACGGGCGCGGTTAACACATGATCTGTCGGAGACGAGGGATACGGGCGCCGTTAACACAGGATCTGTCAGGGAGGAGGGATACGGGCGCGGTTAACACAGGATCTAAGACGGAGTTGCCGTGCGCTTGTATAGGTTATCACGAACTGAGCGTGGGCTGTGCAAGAACTGCCGATGTCAAGGTGGCGGAAAGTTACAGTTGTGTCACCTAAAAACCCCTAGCAGAGCTGAAAAAGGATTATTCCCGTATCAACCAGCGACGGTGGTGGGGAGTTCTAGAACGTTTTTGTGCCAAGAACAGGCCTGCCGTTGGCCAGTACGGTCCGGAGCCAATGCATATAAAACAACGAAGCTAGGCAATTGTACCGTCGCCTGCCATTGGCCACAGTTTGTGTAAGGTACTAAGATGTCGTGCGCTCCTCCTCACGGAGTCTTCTCAATAGAGGTCGTGTTGAATGGGATTGTGCTCAGAATACTTTTTTTCCTTATTCCGAATGTCTTGGAACTAGAAGAAAATTCCTGATTCTAAAAACGTAGTTCATACCCAGCAAATACCAAATAGCTGAAATGTACACGTTTTTACGTTATGTCTATGATGTTGACGATATTGACTAAAATGCCATCATACTGAAAGAGACATCAGGTGTTGCTCATCTCACATTTAGCCCGTGTGAATACAAACACTTGGAACTGATGTCACATAAATCGAGGACAACTCGTAACAACGAAAGAAGTCAACATGGAGTCAGGTAGCATTGCGCAAAATTCGACCTGTTTAACTCAACAACGCATTTTGGTAGGCTTAATCCCTTCAAATAACTTTCAAATCAACATTGCAAGCTCTGAATGAACGAATTCGGAGCTATCGGAATTGAGAAGAAAATATTGATTTGTGCCGCCACGAAGCCGTGCATTTGGTGTGATTTAATGTGAGAGGGCTAATCGTAGCTCAGATTGTCCTCTGAAAATGTGGCCGTTAAGACCGAATGTGCTAACAAACCATCACGAATCACCACCTGTCGTGCAAATTGCACATTGTCATGTTGTAGATGACGCCGATCCGTCGGTCTGATGGCAGCTAATTGCCAAGGACCGTGCGACAAAGCATTATTGTTCGCAGTAATTGGGCGTGATCGCTGTAATCGTGTAACAGTAGCAAGCTGATCATATAGACTCGGGCCTAGCAAGTGACTCATGTAACAGAAGGCTGAATCTGTAACAATCTTAGTGGGTTCTCTCACCCAGCGCAGCACCAACTTCACTATCAAATTTCATACTCCACTTCAAAATGGTGCCAAGGTTATCAAGTGCTTAGAATCTACTTGGCACAGTGCCAGGTCTTTGATGTATGGATCCCGAGATGTATCCGAATGTCTTTTAGAGTTACATTTAATATTAGAATGTGTATTGCACCGTAGCAACACTATAAAGGTGCCTAAATTTGGCCACCTCATATATTTTGTAGTCCGTTAAGCGGCATTGATAGAAATATGAGGGAAGAATTAACTAAATCAATGGCTATTTTAGGCAAGTTTTCGTCACCGTCGTCAGTCGTCATCGTGCCGACTTCGCATAATTTCCCCTCTTATAGGAAGTGTTTTACATCGGTATGGGGCTTTGAACTGAGATGACCAATTTGAAGATCACCCAGTGCCGTTCAAGGCCCTGCCCTTCCTAAGACTTAAAATCCTCTGGTTTTTTAGCTAGACGTCCGCGATCTGACTCGTGCAGACTATTCCATGGTCCCCCAGACATGCATGACGTCATAGAAAACGTCGCGCAAATGCTGCCACCCCAATGGTTAAACGGTGTTTAAGGACAAGAGGAATTTTATTGTCGAGTTATTCGTGCCTGGTGCACATCAGCATGATTTCTGTCGCCAACGAAGTTGAATTGGTTATAAGGCAACGTTGTGCTAGCAGCGCTAGTTTCGAACACGAATCACGCATTGTACTATATAATGCAGGAAGTTGGACAGTGGTACCAGTTATGACGGAAATTGACTGGCAATTCAGTTTCAGAATGGCGCTATAACCGAGCGTGTGAATGCAAGTCAGCGATAAAGAATCACGGATGAACATGCAGGAACACCACAAGAAAGTATCAAAACCTGCGTCTTTACCGACATTCGCGTTCTGCTAGCATAATCGACAGCAAGGCCCTGCTCGAGAAGTGTAGGTATTACAAGTGAGCCAGCCGCTCCGCTACGACAGAACCGCAATCAGACAATGCCATATTGAGGAGCGCATTTCCTAAGAAGTGAGTTTTGGTTTTCGTGAGCAGTTTTTGTACTTAAGAACATACAAATGGTTACGTTTGGGACCATTTCATTTTGTCTGATGATTGCCTCAATATGCTTTGATGTGGAACATTCCATTTTATATTTGATCACCAAAGTAACACGCTTGGTATTTTATTTTTCACATGGAAAATAACGTTCGAGGATATAGGTGTCCTTAGGTCTCTCCTATAGTTCAAAAGATCACCCTTTTCCCATATTTTGACATCCTGTTACCAAAATTGGACGCTTGCCTACAAACATTCCTGCGATGCCGATGAACTCATAATCCCTAGGATTGTTTTACAAACTGGTACGAGAAAGGCTGCAGCATGCTTAATTGTACGGGTGACTAGCACTTGTCATTATGAATTAGGAGTTTCTTTTCCTTTTTTGAAAATGATCGACCACCAGCGAACTAGGAAGTGCTGGTTAGACGACGTTATCAAGCAAGCACTGGTTGGTTGTGAACTCCCGCTCGATACTATTGATACCAGTGCCCTCTGCTTCTGGTCACGTGCTACGTCTGGACTGTGCTCTGGCCCATTAAAATAGCATGTGAAGAAACTGCATCAAATTTAAAGCATATTGGCCACACTTTGAAGCAAGAGACAGAGGGTTTAACGTTTGACGCTCTCTGCAGGTGTCATACCCTGCAGAAAATCGTACGACTGCCGAAACGGGAAGACGCATTAGGATACGGTCCAAACTTTTGAGCAACTATCTCAAGCAGAAATGAGGATAGGGTGGAATCTTGGTGCAACAGCGGAATGGTAAAACATCGATTTAAACTGAAGCAGGGTGACTGGCCGTGCAAGAGCAGCCCAATGACGGTCGACGGATCGTGCATGGTACGGAAAAGGTTCTGGCAGAACTGGCAGGGCAGGACTCCCCTTTTGCTCATCAGTAATCCATTCGTTCCGCATCAGCTGGGCGTAGCTACGCCTCCGCCGCGGTGTTATCCACCGTTATATCAATACCATTTATTCGGTTATTTCGAGTGTCATGAATATCGGACGTCACGCATCCAACGTGATCGCAACTGGCTTGGGTACGAAATGTCCTCGAAACCTGACGCACCAGTGTAGAGCAAAACTCATCGATGAAACCAATGCTCTCGTGAACTCGCCCCCGATGTGGCGCATACTCATCGAACAAACTTCTCGCAATCTTAATAGCGAGATGTGTTGAGAAAAATCCTGGTAAAACAGATGCATGAGTCAGGACAGCGCAGCAACACTCTTTTGTATGGGGTTCAAGAGCATTTTTCGCAAAGCCCGACTCATTTAAGCTCAAGGAATCAAAGTGAGGCAGCTGTCACGGTGGCTGGTACACAACATGACCGTTTTATGAGTATATGATGCTTCATCACATTCGTGTCTTCGTGTCTATACCTACATACATATATACATTGATGATCACAACTATGCTCTGCCACATAATCAACACTTCAGTACATCACGATCGCTACATCACCCCATATCCAACACAAACACTGCGAGGGGCATGCCACTAAATTGAAATGCCTCATGTCGATATCTTCTGCCACGCGGACCAAATGACTAAAAACCAGCTCATCCCTTTCACGTGTTCACCAAATTTTTACTCGGGTCATCTAAGCGTGCTTCCTTCTGACCTCGGGTTGACCTGTCCCAGGTGTCCGGTCCGTTCTTGACCAGCAGGATCTCGTATAGCAGGCTGACGGGCCGCTCCACGCCCGGGAACATGTACCGTTGCCACACCACCTTGTTGTACTCCCAGTGGACTACGTTAAATCCTAGCTGCTGCAAAGATCGAACTGAACGTTCCGCTCTTTGGTAGAACTCAATAGCTAGCCGAGGATCTAGCCGATAGTGAATCTCGAAGCCGATCTGCTCCACCTTGTCCAACACGAAGTCGCCTTTGCCGTCGAGCAGTTGTTGTGACAGCATACTGAATTCGCTCCCTTCCACATCCATCTTGAGGTAATGAATGGTGCGACCTTCGTGGCCCAGCATCTTCACAATCTCATCCAGTGTGTGGATCTTCCAGCCGTACACGTTGGTGTGGTTGTTCCTTCCGATGCCGATGTGGTGGAACGTGATGCCCGGGGAGCGTGGACCCTCGGGATAGTCAATGGTGGGGTCGAACGAGTGCACCTCGCAGCCGAACCGCTCCATGGCCTCGTCGAAGCTCCAGTCGTAGTTGATGCCGAAAGAGTAGACGAGACAGTTGTCTGTTGCAGCTAGCTGGAGCGGCTGGTCCAGACAGGCGTACTTGTCTCCGTCCTCCAGACAGCCGACGCCGCTGGCCAGGCCTCCGAACGTCAGCATCCGTTTGCAGGTGCTGGTGGGCGTCTCGGGCCAATCGTAGACGTACCGGAACATGGCCTTCTCCGCCTCCGTGAAGGTCCGCTGGTCAGCCGAGGACCGGTCTCTGGAAGGAAATAAGCGATTGGTTACTTTGCTCCGAGCATTCCGAGGTGACGCTTAACACGCGCTCGGGTTGGATACTCCTCGCTCGTGTGGGGGTTAATTTCCCCCTTCTGAGATCTTAGGAACTAAGAGAGCTAGGTACACCTGATTCACAGGGTGTGTTTACCTGTACGTGAACCCGATTAGGTCAATATTTGAGGTGTCTAGATCATGACCTTTGGGTCAAATAAGGTATAAAAGGTAAAATTTCAAGCTGGTCTCAAGGGAAACCTAGAACCTAGATAACTGTTCTAAGCAAAATTTTGCTCGCTATTTAAGGTCAATGACCTTGTTTGACCTTTCGAAGGTTATGGTGACCAAAACCGTACAAGACTGCTTTGTGTTTTGCGTTTGAATAAGCGACAAAGGGCGTGCCAGACAGTATGCTCCTAACAATAAAAATGTTGACCTGGGTAATTTTACGTCAGTGACCTATTTTAGCCTTTAGAAAATCCATGGAGGGTGTTTAATTCGGTTCCTGTTATCAATAAATTCGAAATGAGCACCAGAAACTACCCCATACAGCAAGCCCTGAGGTCACAAAACAGGTTGGCTTTGACCTTGGTCTGACGTTCATACCTGACCCTATGTCAATATAATTTGTAGATTCAATTGTTATGTTACCTAAGACGTTACCACGTTACCATGCTACCACGTTATCTCAAAGATGTATGGTTTTGTCTAACAGTCCGTTGTTGGATCAGATTGAACGGTTCCCTAGAAATTGCCTTCACCGAAACCATGGCCTGACGTTGACCTGCCATAGGTCAGCGACCTTACCAGGTACATCTCAATTTGTGATGCCGAGTGATTTTCTATTCAGTTTTCTACAGCCATGCAAAATACGGCGTGGCTATCCTACGCCGTTCGGAAACTATTGCGGAAAAAGCTTCCGAGGTGGTCAATTTGCGCCCCCAGCGCGTGTTAATTTTGCAGTACTCAAAAGCTTTTCTGTTCGTGTAATGCCCTAAATTATCTAACCGTTTAGATGGGTTATCCACCGCGGTGAACCAAAAACTAAAGTATCCCCGTTTATGTGCTACGATCAATCAGCCCAGTGCAATGCATGGCTGCTTTTGGTTCGCAGTGAAGCCTCCAGTGTGGTCATCGCCATAGCATTCTTATCTGTTCGCGATAAAAATAATTCATTGTTAAGTATTATATAACATAATAAAAAGAACAATTGTTAAACATTTTAAAGCGCATGGTAGCGTTTGTTGACTTTGTTTCCGAGACGAAAAGACTAATGTCATTTTGTGCACGTTTAACATAGAACCTCTGGATTTCGCGGTGCGGGAAGTTCTGCGTGACTGACGCACAGTCGGGCAAGTGGTCTGTGTGCTCGCGCCCGCTCATGTGTGGTGGTTTGGCGGGCCAGGGCGCGGCGTCTCTACTCTGAGCCATTGTTTTGCTCGGCGCCAGCTAACACCGGCCCGCAGGACGCGGCTGACCCGGCCTGCCTTACAGGCAACATCCCGACTCACGTGAAGCAGCTGAGCGGCATGCGGCTGTCCTGGTAGGGCGCCGGCTCCGGCAGCGACAGGATGTCACGTGCCCCCCACTTCGTCGGGTCGTCGGCCACAAGTGGAGTCGGAGCCTCAGCAGGGGCCGGGGCCAGGGCCGGGGCCGGGGCCGGGGCCGGGGCCGGGGCCGGGGCCGGAGCTAGAGCCGGAGCAGCCGGAGCCACCTGAGCGGCCGCAACCGCAACCGGAGCCGGAGCCGGAGCCGGAGCCGGACCCGGGGCCGGGGCCGGGGCCGGGGCCGGGGCCGGGGCCGGGGCCGGGGCCGGGGCCGGGGCCGGGGCCGGGGCCGGGGCCGGAACCAGAACCGGAGCCGGGGCCGTCAGCTCGGATAGCTCCACTAGGCCGACGTCTTCCAGCACGAACATGGGGTCCTCAGACGGGATGTAAGGCACTGAGTCGGGTACCAGCGAGCGCAGGTCGGGCGCGACCGTGGCGGGTGGTGACGGAGACGGCCAGCGCACGGCCAGCACGCAGAAGAAGACCAGCCACACGACGGCCGTGGTGGCCAGCGGCCGCCGTTCAGTCAGCGAGCGCGCCATCCGCCAGCGTCGCCCACCCTGGCGTCACACAGAGACCGCTGTCACCAGCACAGACATCTCCTAGGTTATCTCAGATAGAACGCATGAGATAGGAACTGAAAATTCAGAATATGATCGAAGCAAACCAATAGCCTAAATGCGCAAGACACTAATGGTTGGGACATCATTGCGGTACCTACTATAAGGCTGCATCACGGCACCTTGCACATCATGGACTACAAAATTGTATTCAGTTAGGTGGTCACACCCTCCGTTCCCTACGTCCAGCCCTTCTGCGTTCCATCTACCCATTTTCTTAACTTCACGTGATAGTCGGCACAGATAGTGGAACAGTTTTAATATCTCCGGCTCGATAACAGAGAGACAGTGACAATACCAAACGACACACATTCACCCTATAATATGTAGAGCAATGAAAGCATTTCCCGTCGCGTCCTGACGTAGCCGGTCTTCCGCCCGCGATACCCACTGTGCTACGGCATGCGTCTACTTATTCTATCGGCTACATCCCATGCGCTGTGACTTTCTTTGTGCAAACGGTTTGCATAAAACTAGGAACCGTCGATAGTATGGCACTAATGACTTAGGAAAAAAACGCGTAAACCGGAAGGTTTGGTGAATGTGAAGAAGGTTTGTAGTGAATAAAAAGCACACGAACTGACGAGCAGATGTGTTGCATCACAAATATTCGGTATGTATGGTGCTGTTTTCTCTCCAGCGTTTTATAAGATATGAAATAGTTATGCGGTACACTTTGCCAATGTTCATATCAATTCAAAACGTCATTTCAGATGAGCGTTGCATCTCATTCGAACCCGGATAAGGTATTACATGATCACAGCTGCCAGCGGAACGCTTGCGTGATAAGCGTTGATGGCCTCAGTGCGTCCGTGTAAAGGCAGACCGTCATGTCATCTCGGCGTACGTTAACGTTAGAAGAAGCATTTGAAGAGACCGAAGGTAATGCTACAACTCCCTTTACAATAAACTGTTATTGTTGTCATATATATGCGTACCGTGGTCCATAGTCGTCCAACGGAATTTAGAGTGCGTCACGGGATGACCACATTTCATCTCTAGGTAACCGGCAGGTCAAGCATGAAAACGAAATTATCTCCGAAGCTAGCCATACCACAGACGGAGACCTATCAAAGACCTGCAATGCATGACCGCCAATCTTAGGAAGGGGATGCATTTATTTGCAGACGGAGATAGCGTCCGCATAACTGCGGATGTACAAAGATACTATGCGCACATGGTCGCTTCCTACTCACTATGTGCGAGCACCCTATGTCGTATGTTACTCACTGTGTGCCAGCCTCCCATGTCGTCAGATGCACGCGACCAGTCGCAGCTGAGGCTCCGTCGAGGCGCAACGGCCCTGCTGACGTGGGAGCTGCCTCTCCCAGCCCAGGCCTCTGCGCTCGTGTGACAGAGCTAGTCACGCCCGCGCCCACACCAGGGCGCGTCTCGCTCAACCGGAGCGTGTCCGACTCACGCCGGGGCCGTCTCTCTCGCGTACGGGCTCGCCTCGCTGCCTCCGAGCCCGTTCCGTTCCTGATGCGTCGTCGGTCTGTCGTGCGGCACGCGAGCGTCGGAGATGGCTGGGAGGCGGGCGCGCTGCCGACGCCGCCGGTCTCAGGTCGGCCAGCGGAGTGCGGCGGATGGCCGGCGCCGGGGCGACCCGGTTTGCCGAGCGAGCGGCTCGCGGGCCAGCACCGGCCAATAACGGAAACCCCAGCTCGCCAGCACGTCCTGCTCGGGCGTGGCTGCCACCGACATCTCCTCGCACACAAATGAACTGCGCATTGTCTGTTGTTTATTTAGAACGCAGGCGAGCCACCGGCAAAATCCCATTGGCGGAAGCAGTCCCGTCTCAAAGGTCGTGTCATTATCCAACGGTTCAACTCGGTGACACGTGGTCAGTCGGAGAGCCGGACTTACGAAGAAACCTGCGCCCCAACACTCAGTCAATGCACTGTACATATTTTAGTGATAAGCGGTAAGGTGAATAGAATAACCAATAGGGCTTTTTGGAAAGTTAATGGTTGTAAGCAAATGTCACGAGCTCATGGGGTGAGGAAAGGATTGGAGGCCGTCGCCATCGTTTTTATGGATGCCGTAGATCATCCGCTTTTTATGGCGTGCTGGCTTCATCAGATCCAAGTAGCCATTGCACTGATGCAATTCATTTGCCTGGCTAACTTACCGTATCAGCCAAAAATTCGGCAACCTGCATCTCGTGACCTACGTGACCTAAAAACTATAAATAACATAGAAATGACGTGGGATACAAGTACAAATATGTCCGAAATTGTATCGGAATCAGAGATGTGATGGTGAACATACTTTGGTGATCTGTCGTGGCTTTCACCCACGTCCAAACGTGCTAGAAGCTTTACTTTAGATCTAAAGGCGGCGAGAAATGCTTGTCAGCCAGAATATTCTGATCATTCTAGCTTTCAGAAACCCTTATGGCCTTTGGTGTTTTTGATAAGCATCAACGCTTTGTCAGTTAACCGCCGATAGTCGGCCCGGTCAGGTCGCTGCGTCTGCGTTCCGCCGCAGGCCATGTGCTGACCGGCCAGGGTAGCGGCGGGCGTCGGGCTGCGGGTCGGTGATTGTGTACAGTGGAGGCAACGCTCACACGCCTGTGCCTGCAGACACGTCGTGCAGTGCAGTGATTGCAAAAGAAGCGGCTGAATCCTTACATATAGACTCCGTTTTTGGTGACAACAAGGACG